CTTGGCTTATGAAACACTGCTGGTAAGTGAATCAGTTAACAATTTTGCTGCCATGAGCAATTTCCAGAGGGTGCTTAATGATTTGTGGGTTTAATCAAACTAATTTCAGGGCAGGAGGATTACAACAGGTTGAGGCCAATGAGCTACAGAGGAGCTGATGTGTTCCTACTAGCTTTCTCCCTCACCAGCAGAGCTAGCTACGAGAACATTCACAAGAAGGTACCCTGATTTCTCGCGCTCTCGATCCACTTTTGGGTTTTTTTTCGTATTGGAATACGGTTTCTGTTCTTGGGATGATGATGAGCTGCTGCTACAGTGGATCCCGAACTGAGGCATTATGCACCAAATGTGCCCATTTTTCTAGTGGGAACCAAACTAGGTAAAGCCAATTACATTGTTGGCTCACCTGTATCAGTTTATCATAAGTTTACTATAGTGGAATGAAGTAAAATACTTGATTTGGGTTCATGTGTTGTAGATCAAAGAGAAGACGAACATGTTAATCAAGAAAAAAGAAGGCATATTAATATGTAGCATAAACTGCAGCATCCATCCATTTATGAATGAAGACTGTGTTTGATAGTGTTGTTTTGTGAATCAGAATGTGAAGACGCTGTTTGATACCGCGATAAAGATAGGTTTGCGACCACAAAAGTCGAGGAGGAAGCCTCGCAAGCAAAGGACATGCACCACCCTTCAGCAATCAGCAAGATCTAGTTGTCGAGGTATCGCCAGAGTCAAACTGGTTCTAAGGAATACAAGACACGTGCTGCAGTTGGTGTAAGTTTATCTCAACCCCTATTACATATCAATCTGGTCCCTATGTTGGATCAATCTACTTATGTTAGATAAATTATGGTATAAATTTAATAACCAACCATATGCATATCAATCTCAGGCACCTCAAAGAGAAGATGAAGAAGACAACGTCGTTAAAATCAAAGCAGCCTTGCAAAAAATGCACGAGGTATGTCCTTGAATAACTAAGAATTCATTTCCAACTCTCTATGTTCGTCAAACCAAAAAATAAACCGTCAAAGGCTGCACTTGTTGTAAATCAACCAAGCCAAAAGATTCTGTCCCATCAATTTCAATGAACAAATAACAAAAACTGAGTGCTTTTCAACTCCTTGCTCTAGATGTTGTTCAACTTCTTGCCCTGTCTGTGTTGTTCAACTTCTTGCCATGTCCCCTCTTCTGAAACATAAAAAACAAGATAGAAGAGTATTGAAATTGTACCTTTTAGCAAAGGTTCTCATATAATATATACATTAGGCAAGAAACGAACAGCGAAAATGTAAAATCCATAAAGGCTTTCATTTAATTCCAATACGATGCAATATATTAATTTAACAAAAAACAAACCTGTTGAGCTTTTTGAGTTTGACTTTCTGAATACTTAGTGAAAGGTTCAGCACTATGTCCCGTATGCTGCTTAGCTCCCTTCTCTTGTCGACTAGGCATAGTATTACTCCTAGTACGTGCCCCGATCTGTCATAGGAAGACAACTTAACTCTTAAGCTAATAGCTCCTTCAAACAAATTGACACTTTGGTGAATAAACCAATGCTACTTAACCTTCTGTGGTGGTTGACTTTTTCCTACGGATTCTACAGTTGTATTATGCCTACTGGTTCGCTGGTTCTGTAAAACCAAAATAACAACTTTAATTTATTGACTCTAATAATTATATCAAGAACACATAATCAGAGATGCTAATTACCTTTGGGGGTTGACCACCTTGGTCATCATCTTCCTCATCACCGTCTCCATCTTCTGCATCGTCCCCATCATCGTCCATGTCATCATCGTCATCCTCATCCTCCTCATCTGACTGAGATTCTATCACGTCGGCTGGGGGGTTAGTACAAGTGCTCCTATAATGCCCATCCCTTAGCCCGCAGTTTCCACACTTTCTTCTTTTTTTCTTAAGCTGCTTTTTCCCTTTTCCTTTCCTACAGCCCTTAAACCTCACTTGTTTAGGATTCAATACACCTTTGAACTTGTCGGGTATGACAATCCTTTCTCTCTCGGTGGGGGTTTTCTTTTGCATCTCCAACTTGTTGCATGCTGCTGTCAACTCCCCTTGAGCCAGACGATAAGAGTCAGGAGACTCTGCCCCCAATAAGCAGAATCGCATAGTGGAGAACTGTAGTGACCCGTACCTAATACTGAAACTACTGTCATCCCCCAATGAAATGGGTTTTGGAAGAGTGGTTAATGACTTAGGGTTCTTTGAGCAACGTCGGAGTACAAGTTTTTCAGGAAAACTCTTCACCCTTTCTTCTTTCAGAACAAAGATCATATGAGCGCACGGTATTCCAATACTCTTAAACATTTCACAACTGCACTCCAAATCTTTCGTTTCAGTGTTGTACTTCACCTCCACGGCCTTCTCTTTGTTGAACATGGTTACAGTGTAGGTGTGTAAATTCCCCTCTTCAGTTTGCTTATCCTTTATGACTCCAATAACCTGCTCCAGCTCAGCTTTGAATTTTATAAATGCAGCTTTTGAAAAAAGCTTCGCTGCACTTTGTTCGAGGGGCAATAGGATTGTGTTCTTTATCGGAACTAAACCATAATTAGACTCAAAGTCTAATCTAACCTCTGTCTCCCTCATGTCCCTGATCCATCGGTCGTATTGAATAAAAAAGTCGAGCAAACTGATCCTCTCATGTCCATACCTAGCAACAACTGCATTCATGCTTTCACATCTTGATGTGGTTTTCAACCCAGCAAAAAAGTGGGAGCGCAAGTATGTGTCCGCCCATTCATTACGTCTCCCATATAGGTTTTTCGACACCCATTGGTTGTTCTGGAGTTCACATTCCTCTACCAATGCATTCCACTTCTCCTCAAATTCACCTGGCTCGTAATCAGCAGTTACAAAGTGACTCCATCGGGGTTCAAAGTCTGGTCGGTTCTTCACCCTGCTAGTGATATTCTTGGACAAATGCCAAGCACATAGCCGATGTGTTGCATTTGGGAACACATTAGCAATAGCCTTCCTCATTGCTTTATCCCCATCTGTGACAACTGTATGTAGCGGATTTCCCCCCAACATTTCCTTCACTATATTCAACGCCCAAGTATAGGTTTCTTCAGTCTCGTTAGGCAACCAGGCACTCCCAAATAAGCAAGATTTGAAATGATGATTGATACCTGCATGGTCGACCAGAAACTCGGAAAAATCAGAAACTTTTGTTACTTTTAGTGATATTAAACACGAGTCTGAAGCCCACAATAAATTTTCAGTTTGTGTACATTAAACCTGCTGATCTCTCCTGATTCTTTGTTGCATTTTCAGTTTGTTCTAATGAAGTTCATATTATTGACGTTTCTCACTTAATATATCCGTCACTAATTAATGGCTCTACCTATCTGCTCAAAGCATTTACCTAATTACTCTCTTGTTAAACCTCTTCCAAAATTTGTTGCTTCCATTGGCCTCACTTCCCCAAATTTAAAAAGCTTATTAACATGGAAGGACCTGCTCAACTGCACCAGCTCTATAATAACACCCTGACCATTCACCATAACACACGAGAAAATCCAATTCCATTCAAAAATTTCCAATCATTTGAAGGAGGAAACAGAACATCAAAACCAACCGATCATTTCAACAATTTGTATCTTAGTTAGCAGTTCATGCTACTGTTTTCTGGATGACATTATGTGTCTTCAAAACATAAAGAAAAGGGTAATGTTAAGCGGGCATATTAGAATGACGTACCTGTGAAAATAACCAACGGCATATTGTAAATGTTTTTTTTTTTGTACGTTGTGTCAAATGCGAGCAACTCTCCAAAACATGAAATGTCTGCTAGGCTAATGCTGTCAGCCCAAAATAAACTATGGAGCGCGTTTTCCTCGGTAGTGTATCGGAGGAGGAAGTGTGGGTCTGTGCTTTTCTTTGATTCTAGATAGGCAAGTGTCGTTGCTGCATCACCCTCGCTGATCCTTTCAGCACGATCTCTGGTGCAGAAGTTTAACCCATCTCTGACTGTATAGCCAAGTTTGTCATGCCCTCCAGCACTATGCACAGCTAGCTTAATCGCTTGGGATGGTTTCATCTCGGCATCCTTTTTAAATCGAAGGTCTGCCTTGTCTGCTTTTGTTAACCCTCGATGCGATCGCAAGTGGTGTGTCCATTTCTGCAGTAGTGGTTCATGAGTGTGCTGTTGGATAAATATATCCACAATCCACTTCGAATCTTCATTATTTAACTTCACACGAAACTTAGCTTTGCATTCAAATCTAGTTAGCATGGGCGACTCTCTCTTTTGTTCGCCTTTGTGTGGGTTTCTATGTCCCTCACAGGAACAGAGAAAGGTTGCGCTTGTAATCTCACGCTTACTGTTCCGGACTGTCTTCGACCGCCTAACAGAAAAACCCCATTCCTTTGCATAGTTGTTGTAGAACGTATATGCTTCCTCTATATTATTGAATACCTGACCGATAAAAGGTGGATTTGGAATAACAACTTCTGGTACAGTCTCTTCTGCAGTAGGACCAGTAGCGTTTGTGGTCCCTGTTTCTTGTAAGATTTCAACGTCACTGTCCTCCATGTTGTTGTTATGATCTCCATCTTCCTCCATTGTTTTGTACCTTTAAGTTTCTTCTAGTTTGGGGGATCGGCACGAATGAAGAGAAGCAATTGTTTGATCGTTAGTCCTTCTAGGTTTATTTATATTAGGTGTATGTGTGCTATTTTAAATACATGAAGGGCTAGGTTATTTTCTCAAGGGCTCGGTTATAAGGGCCTTAATGGGCTTAAAATTCTGTCCATCTTTAAGAGTTCTTTCATGTTAGGCTTCGTTGTGCTATTTACATCAGTATTTATGGGAAAAAGGATTTTATTAACCAATCCTCTTTTGGTGGTGTTATTGCTAGTGGTGGTTTGTGGTTGAGCAGCTTGCTTTCTTGCTTCTGTATGCTTCTGGTGGTGGTTTGTGGTTGAGCAGCTTGCGTCTGACACATATATCGTGGGTGTTTTAACAGGAAGATGAGTTGACGGGCTCAATCGCTGCATGCAAGGTAGAATCTGATGTTCTGGGCACGTGAGTTAACTTCTTGGAGGACACTTGGGTTCTCCAGCGCTCCTATGTGGAAACGATCGAGAAGCAGGCAGCGTAAGTGTTTGCAGTCAATTTACTGGTATTGTCCTTAGGATTCTCTATCTGAGGTTTTGTGTTCGCCGTTTTGTTTTTTCCCCTTGTTTCAAAGTGATGAGCTGGAGAAACATGAGGAGTACTTCACGAACTTGGCCGTCAATCTTCTATCTGATTACAAGGTATCATTGCTGTGTATTTTGGGGTTGTACAGCTCAAAACTTCAAATGGAACTGATGTTGATGATAGCCTGCTTCTTTTATATTCTTTTCATGCTTCTGACCATGAGTTCCCCTTGTTATGCAGAAAGAATTGGAACCTTCTATTGGCCGCATTGGTACATATGTTGAGAACCTGAAGAAATTGAGTCCAGGGTAATCTACTTCGTCTCTTTAGGTTGAGTTTTTCTTATATCACTCAAACGCCATGTACTCGTATATGGCCTAAAGGAAGACAAGGACTTGAATTTTGCTCTCGCTTGTTTTATTCTTTTTTATTTGAACAATGCAGGTCAGAGGTAGCAGCCAGTGCAGATAATCAGGATTCTCAAGTAATTAGCCCGAGGCGACATCTTGAGGAAGAATATATGGACTATGAAGCGAAGGTGAGTTGGTGCTTGTGTTTGGTTTCTTTTTGCTGATCCATACGTGTACAATTCCTAAAACATATTGGACTTTGGAGTTGAGTATGCCATTCATTCTCTCGTGTCAGCTTGTGTTCTGTACACATGACGGGCTATCTCTTGACAGGAAACACGATGAAAGAGTGAAAGAGCTATTTGATGAGATCGAAAAGCTGAGACAGGAATTCGATGCCATTGACAGACCAATTCTTGAGGTGGAGGTTCTGAGCTCAAAGAAAGAAGCAACATCTGAGGAGAAGTCCTCAGAAGTTGCTTCCACTCATACAGTAGAGCCTCTCAAGGCAGAGCCTAGTTCCTCAAAGCCACCTGCCGAGCTTCCCAAGAAACCAGCCACAAGTTTTGATCAATGTTTTCAAATATAATTACCATTGTTTCCAGGTTTGGTACAGTGCTTAGGGAGGGAGGGTTAGGTCAAGTTCAGAACAGTTGGCTCAACGAGTGCATCGCAAGGGGATTTTGAACCTTTCAGTTGTTATAACGAGTTTCCTTTGGACAAATCTTACTGTTGATAATATTAATAGGCTCTATCTATCGAGAGACGAAGTTGCATAACTGTTCTTTGTCTGGGTGGGATCAGAAGTCTGTATTAATAAGAAGTAGGGGTGGGCATACGGTTCGGTAAAACCGAACCTAACCGAACCGAACCGAATTCAAACCAAACCGAAACCGAATAACATTAATTCGGTTCGGAATTTGGAAGAGAAAATGGTATATTTCAGAAACCAAGGTCCTTTCGACCGAACCGAAATTCCGAATTCCGAACCGATTTTCCGAATTACTATAATTGCAAGTTCCAAATGATGGATTTTTATGTTTGTACTTATTATGAGACTTAAACATTTGAATTATGTTAGTGTTTTATGACTTATGTGTTGAAATGTTTGATTTTATCATTGATAATGCATTTAATTGCATATTTATTGTTTACATTAGGGGTGAAAAATAATTTAAAAGAGAAAAAATACAAGCTAACCTCACAAGTTCGGTTTTTCATACAAAACCGAACCGAACCGAATTATAATTCGGTTTGAACCAACCGAACCGAATTATAATTCGGTTCGAATTCGGTTTGAACCGACCGAACCGAATTATAATTCGGTTCGAATTCGGTTTGAGGTTTGATGGAACTCGGAAACCCGGTATACATTATTTCTGTTCGGTTTGAACCGAACCGACCGAATGCCCACCCCTAATAAGAAGAGTTTGTTGTTGGCTAGAATCTCAATACTGATCAAGTAGCAGGAGAACGATGGGACACTCTGAGCATGGACTAGCTCTTGTCATAAACAGGATGCAAAGACCATTTTTAGGAGCTGTTCTGCTTGAGTTTTGTACTACCTTCTAAGTCATTTGTTCTTTTATTTCAGCACTAGCTCTTGATGTTGTTTCTGTGGCAGCTAAGACATTGTTTAGCAGTATTGATTATTGAACAAGAAACAAGCTCTAGTCTATGATTCTCTGATAACTAAGACACATTGTTCAGTAATAGACAGTAAGATCACTCATCATTCATGTATCCAGAGAACTCGTCCGGCAGCAACATGTGTTGGCATGCACCTAAGCTTCTCACTTGTCTATGTTCTACAAAGCAAATAGGTTTGAGCTTAACCAACAACAAACACAAATCATGCAGAAACTTAAATGACAGAATGCAACAAACTAAATGAAAAGAAACATGAAATGGAATTCAATAACAAACATTGCCTAAAGTACTTGTTGTGTAGTATAAATAGAAATAGTTTGTTCTCAAACTGAACAATGGGCAATGTACCAAAATAAGTGAAAATCCAAAAAAATTTAAACATAAGCATCACCACCAAAACGCTCAAGAACTCCGAAAACGCATACTTAACTAGTTCATCAAAATCCAAAAAAACTTAAAAATATGCATCTCCACGCATGACTGCCATGTCCTTGAGTATCATATTTTTCCATGCCGTCGAGTGTTCATGAGCATGTCGATTCACTTTCTCCAACTTAGCATTCTGAGGCCCACCAACCAAGTCAAGAGCTAGCCTCATTCGATCCACATCGCCACATGGCTGTGCACAGAAGATGAAACCAAGTAAACATTTAAAAACAAAACTTGCCATTCAATTGTGAAACAAATATCATTACAGAACAAGATCCCTTACCCCAACATCATAGCGTGCCAGATTATCTAAGAACCTCATCCATAAGCAAACCCACATGCCACCATCAAATCTAATACAAATAGCTACTTCATAAGTTTATGTTAAAACAAAAGTTTCATAGTGATATCCAAGAATTGCGTTATCCCTTACTTGTTTTCTTGTGTAGGAACCCCATATGGACTAATCACTTGAAAGCCACAGATGTTTGGCAGATCCTTTGTTGTACCCAATTCAAAGTACAACCTCCGAAATAAATCATATAAAAAATTCATCTGCAAAATCATCTAAAGATTACTCAATCGAAGAAGAAGGAATATAAAATATATGAATTATAAAACTACACTAGTTTGCTAACCATATGGCGTACGATCTTTGCACGAAACTCATTGTTGTTTGCCCTAGGAGCAGAGTCAACCAAATGAACTTCTTCTAATTCCATCATCACCACAACCAGGTACCAATGCTTACCATCCTTCAATGGTAGATAGATCTGCCAAATATTGACATAAAGATTATTACCATTTAGCAAAAAAAAATTGGGAAAACATCTACACATTACTGATTGAATTGTTAATGAGTTACCTTATTGCATCCATAAGCGTTGCGTAAGTAGCTAAATCGATAATCATTGAATACACTGTCAGCAGTATAGACATACTTCTCTAATCCTGCCTACAAGTTCAAATTTGGAATTTAATAAGTGAAAATCATTATGTATAAAGGACAAATCTAAAAAATTATTACTGGTGATCCATATTTGATTACCTGTATATGAGTAGGGAGAAAGCACGATTTGCTTTCAATTCTACGTTGCTTATCATACATGACAGAGAGGTTGAGATACCATGCATACATTGAAATGACCTTAAAAAACAGACAACATAATTATTTTAATGGATATTTAAAACATATACAAAAAGTTAAAGATAGAATGTACCTCATCTTCTAGGTACTCGTTAGGCAGCAAGCTCAACAGTGAGCTACGAGTACAGGACTGGGAACCATTTTTTACTAGTATCTTTTCGGGAGCAAGATCTTCCACGAACATGTAATAGGCCAGTCCAACCTCTTCTGAAGTCAAATGCATGTTACTGGTGATAGGAAACTTCATTACAACCTGACACAAAAAGTCAAATACTATAAAATCTGATATGCTGCCTAATACTAAGCATTTATGTAACAGTACCATGACTACCTAAGATATGGTTGTCACATCAGGCTCGTCATCATCAATGAGAATGACTTCAGAAATTGGTGTCGCATTGACGTCTCTGAACTCAAGCCTCCTCTTTGTAAGGTTGCGGGAACCACTCTGTCAATTTTTAGCAAAGGATAATAAAGAAAACTTGGTATAAAGTCTAATTAGTTATTTTTAATGTGGGTCACTAGTCACTACCACTGTATTATCATTAGAGGATAAAAGAGATATACAAATCAAGGATCACTGTATTTGAACGAAACCTAAACAAAATTAGCAAGAAAGCTAATGAGCGACAACCTAAGAAAACAAGACAATGACCCACCAAACTAGATGACAAAGCAATGAAAAAAAACAGACGATGATAAGCCAAAAGCAATCAAACCATGAACATAAAAACCAGAAAAACTAGATGACAAAACAATGAACAAACAAACCGACAATCCTACATAATGTGGGATTTTATTAAAATCACTCGTTTGGAAAGCAATTATATGATAAGAGATTTTAAATATTAGAGATTTCAGAAACCCACAATTGTGGGATTATGAAATAGCTGATGGTGATCAGCTATTTTAAAATCCCACACAAATCCTACAAATTAAAAACCTAGGTTTTTAAACAAGTGATTTGAGCCAAAATCCCACAAATTAAAAACCTAGATCCAAATGACCCCATAGTGAGCAACAACTACGCAACCAGAAACAACAAAACCATGTGAAAAAAGCAGAAAACAGTATGATTAAAGGTGTGTAGAACATAAAGGAAGAAAATAAATAAATAAATAAACTCTTCAACTTCTCAAACCTTGCGTTGTGAAGAATATTTCGTCATTTTTGCTCTACTTTCAGCATCGATACCTTTAGCCAGCCTCTTGTCCCTAATTTCAATTGTCATACAAACAATTATCAGCGATAATAAACACAAATAAATCTGGGCAACGATGAATTAGAACTAACACAACAGGAGCAGAAGAGAATCGTGAAGGAGGTAAAATAGCAATGGCCATTACCCAATTTTTGGATCCATGGTTCTGTAGAACTTTCACTAAGAGGAGAACACGGTGGAAAAACTGCAAAACAGAATTTTACATAGGTTTGTGTAAAAGCCAGCAGCTAATCTAACCTCATAAAGCCGAAACATCAATAAAATTGAGAAATTGGATGATAACTATCTAACAACAGCAGAGGGAACCTTAGTCGCCTAACACAGCTGGAAAGCAAGGTTGAGAATATCGCAGAAAAAAGAAGAAGGCAAAAACACTTATAAATAAGGCTAAATAATGGGGTATTCATCCAATTAAAGGAACTTCCTCTTTCTCTAACTAAAGAGGCTTACTAATTAAATGATCTTTCCTTTTATTTTGCAACCATGCACCAGTTACCTTATCAGCATCATCATCATCGCACTTCTTCTGACCTTCATGCTAGCTCATGGCGCTGATCTCCACCACACCACTCTGGTTGGTACCTTGCTAACAGAAACGTCTTCTGCTATGGCTCTGTATTAATTCAATTCTGACTGCAGGAAGATGGTGACGAGAGCTTGGGAGAGAGATGTGAAGAGGGCGTTGGAGAAGATGGTGAAGAGTGCTTGACCAGAAGAACCCTCCAGGCCCATCTTGATTACATCTACACACAACCTCATCCACCCCACCTCCCCTAGTCTCCTAACAAACTAGCTCGTAGCTAGCTAGCTAACGGCAGCTGTGTTATCCTGATCTTTCTATTCTGATCCAAGCAAAGCAATCTCCACAAACTGCGGTATGATACACAATCCAACATGTCACACCAGTCGTCTAGATGAAGAAACGGGGAATGCAGCATTCACATGTTCGAAACCATAAAAATGAAATGGAATAAAAATGAAACCCTGAGCTTGGATCATGTACTAAAAATCAAGGAATGTAGACGAGAGAAAGAGAGAAAGAGGTACATACAAATGCTACTTGGTTTTGTCTTCATTACCAATAACGTGGTTTCATATCAATAGATGAGTTCCCAATCACAACTTTTTCAAGCAGGCAACA